ATAAATGAAATTATATTGTTTCTGGTCTCTGACGAGTCTCTGCTCGTTCTCGTGTCAGTACCTTTGAGGGAAAAATGTGACAGATTCAATGAATTTAGATGTTAAACTATTGAGCCATTTGCTATTGGGCTGTTACCCGACTAGCAAATGACGCTAATAGCTGAAGGCCTTGAGTGACCAAAGTTGATAGCTCAGTGAGGGTTTTAGATGCATTTGAGCTTTGGTCACTTGCAGAGCTCTGGTTTGTGTCATCAGAGTGTGGCTGTCTGCGTTTTTTGAAATAGGGTGGAGGTCTGCCTCTGCCCAATGACCAGCACTTCTCCTCTGTATGGCCTGTTTTGTGACAGGAATTACAGAGTCTGCTCAGTTTTTCACCGTGTGGCTTTCTGAATTCTCCTGCAAATGGAGGATTTTCATGACATTCTAACACAGCTACCTCACCATGCATCTGTTTTCGTGACTCAATTCTTGTTGCCCAGCTAACAATACCTTCGAATGTATTTTTTGCTGGAGAAGCACCATACATGAGCGATTGTTGTACACGCGGTCCTGCATTTGTAAGTAGTAAGTCAAGGAGAGTTACATTGTTGTGGTTAACACCTTCAATTCCAGAATACTCCTCAAACAGTTCAAACATTTTTTCTGCATATGTCTCGAACGATTCTTCAGTATTCTGTTTCCGATTGAAAATCAATTCCCATCCAACAGGACTACAACCGCGCAGATCGCGAAGACATCGTTTTAGTCTATTAAAGATTTCACCCTCAGGCTCATCTTGATACACTGACTGCACAATGTTGCCTGTCATCAACGCCTGTGGTATCTTGTAGTTCAGAACCTCTGGAATTGAGCTGATAACAATTTGCCAAATATCTTTTGGTTCAAGCTGAAATGCATGTTTTAGACTAACAATGCGTCTCCACCATGGTTCGAATGGCTCTTTCAAGGGCAATGGTCCGGTCTCTGCTTTAAACAAGCTACATTCAGTTACCGTTAGAGGACGCCGAATGGTTGACTCTGTGCCATTTGGGTGCCGTATCACCTTAAAGGCTGAAACAGGCACTCTGTTCAAAACTCTATCACATGCTTCACCTGTCTGAAAAGATACAGGATTGTTAGGGCAGGCGGGCTCATTTAAGAAGTGCACATTTTTAGTCCCATCGCTGTTGAGCTTTTTGGGAGACATGGACTTTTTAGCATTTAGTTGAGTCTTAAGATCTGCGATGGTGTATTTGTGATTTTTACACTTTTCAGTCAGGGCTAACTGCTCAGCTAGTAATTTATCTAGCTGTGTTTGAAGATCTTGAATCTTTGCCTCAGACATTTTTGCCTCTGCATTTTTAGAATGCACTTCTTCACATTTAACATCCATAAGCGAAGATAGAAATGTTGTTGACTTATCTAGCCGTTTATAACTTATGAAGTTTAAAGCCTCAATTATTTCACCATGTTTTGATTTCTTCTGTTTACTACCCACGGTTTTCCACCAAGTGACAATTTCATTGTCAATAGCGTCCACGTTAAGACCTTTTTTACTGAGTTTGTACAGTGTAGGCTCGACCTTTTCGGCCCACAATGTAAACAGGGCAGGATCATTATACATGTTCCAATTTATATTTGGGGAAATTTCGTTCCCTGAAGCTTTGAATATGAAAAGGCTTTCTGGCTCAGGGCTGGTAAGGTGTACATTCGCTGTTTATCTTTTCTGTTTGCTAGGTTTCGAATACCTTTTCTTCTCATTTAGTCTTTTTAAATGGCCATTTTAACGTTTGATTATTCTTTTGAACTCTTAATTTTAGTTTTATCCGATTAGATCAGGGAATCTATATCGCTCAGCGTTCCTTCTCCCAAGGCCGCACGGCACACTCCCGTCAGTTCCAATAACCAATTCAGAGGTAATTTGGCTAAATATCTGGGATCTGCCGTAATTCACACGTACACAATCGAAGACATCTACATAGCCCCCTTGAATGCCACCTCAGGAACTTAATTCAATAATTTACTTTAGTAGCGTGCACTTATCTAAAGTAACATTAAATTAGAACAGAGGTATTTAGACGTACCCAAATCTAGATCAAACAGCATTAGCTGATTCTAGACGGAAACTACCCGTCTCCTCATTCAAGTACACTTAAAATGGTATCGGATATTAGCCGTCGCTAATCTGACGCGAAAGATGTGGAAATATACGAATCCAATAATCTATGGAAAAAACAGTCTTTCAGAGTCATTCAGAATTAATTCAAACGTAACCATTTACAAATTTGGTATGCGAAACAGCTCCCATAGAGTGGAGAGGTAAAGTTTACGTTCTCTAAAGCTTTGAATATGAAAAGGTTTTTTGTTTCAGGATTAATGAGATGCGCGTTCGTGGTTTCTGACTTTCAAATTCATTGTGAATCACATTATAACCACATTCAGCATAGAGACACACGCGTTTAATTCAGTTCACACAGGATACGCGGCCTAGAATATAACATCAACAGCCTTTACCTAAGTGTTCCAAATACACAAACAGTAAAGCAATCCTGTGTTTAAAGAATAAACTTACAATTAGCCTATGTGCACATATAGTAGCACAAAACAACTATAAAGTGTGTTCTATGAGTGCATTACAATGTTTAAAACACAACTCCAAATTTGAAAATACAAATTATTGTATTATTGCTTTTTAATCCCATCTGTGTTAAAGTGGAAGCTTTCAAATGCAATATAGAGTTTGTCAAGATTTGTTTAGGTTTAGAATATTATTCAATGTGGCTTTTGTGCCCACCGGTGGGCCGGTCACGCAAAGGGTTAAGCATTTCTGAATGCAGCATGGCATTTAGCATTTAGCATTAGCTTTGTTTAAGTAGCATGGGCAATACCGTACTAGTATTTAGCTTAGTCTCCTTTTGGAGGCAGCATGGAAAATAGCATTTAGCTTAGCCATGAGATCCGCTTTTAGCCTGTAAATCATATCATCCTGTTTTCCCAAATTTAGCTTTTTATAAACAATGCATCGATCTGCCTTTTTATTTAAAAAAATTACGTGTTCTCCGATTTTCTCCATTTACAAACTTAGATTTTTCTTTCTGTTGTTTTCCGATTCTCTTATTGTTGCTAGTTCGTTTCAACAAAGCCAACACCACAATGGCGACAAACATGCGGCTGATTTGAAAACTTTTAGGCTGTTTTACAGCTCCTCATCAAGTAACGTTACACGAAAAACATTTGGAAGATGTTATTCCGATTTTAGGTTTCGTTTTTTGTTGCTTAGTCAAACAAGGATATCTTTAATCTATTAACAAGGGTTTTCATTCTTCATCTGCGCTGTCGCTTATCACGTCCTCACGTATTTCAGTTCTGGACTAAACAAAGGGCTTTCCTATAGCTACCCATAACAATGCAAACAACATTTTCTCAAGAGGGAAGAAAAAAATGACTTACCAGAGCGGCAGAAGAAAGTGAAGATGTTCAAACCTCATGCTGATTTTAAAATCCCCATACTTTGCTGGAAAAGACGTTGCTCGCGAATTCATCTGTTGCGATCACGTCTCGGGGGTCGCCAATTTGTAAGGCCTGCTAATTTGATCCAATGCCGGCATTCAAATTAGCGGTGAAGGTCTCAACGCGCGTTCCGTCTCTTCCAATGGCAGAGGGATTTATAATTAAATGTAATACTTTTTTTGTCTTATGTTCTAACTCGTTTCATCTGACTCCATAGAATGAAAGTGTTTTTCAATGATATCTGTGCATCATTAAGTATACGTTAATGTTTGACTATTCGTTTTAACTCCAATGAAAATAAAGTCAAAGTCTGTTAGAATAATCAAATATAACAATTTATTATGTCAGGTAAATGTATTATAATAATTCCATAATCAATTGAAAGATAATCAATGCAAATCATCAAATGTTCTAGAACAAAGAGGAAAATCTTTTACCCAACATGAAATACATGAATGCTGAGTCTCGGCGACTCAGCATCCACGGGCTATCTGAGATACAGAAAAAGCCACGATCCCTTGCTGCCTTCCATTAAATAGCCAGACCTCATTTCATATGTAAACCTGTATTCACAGTGGAAATGTACTGGTAGGTAACCATTTGCTTAGTTGTAATTTGCATTCAAACAAAAGGCCAGAAGGTGTTAACTCCGAGACAAACCCTTCTGTGTGAAGGATATTTCTATATTCTTAATAACCTTATTACCTTTTGTTTTACTTCTTTTGGAATGAGACACTCGTACCAGCCACCCTGAGACCTTTAAAATGATACTAAACACAATACTCAATGATAATCATTCACATTAAACCATATATATATATATTCTTATGTGAGTTCTAGCTGTTACTGGGTGAAATGTAAATCAGGTGAGACTGCGTGAGGGGGAGGTCGAATGCTATTTCAGCAAGTTCCTTTGTTTCAATAGACCATGTGGTCAAGACAGTGTCTCCAACCAGTTCTTACAAGGCCAAATGTTCATTTCCAGCTTCAACCAGTTTCCCAGTCTTACAACAGTCAGAAACTTTTTCATCTTTACAAACATATCTTCATTTCTTTTGAATCATAAAGCATTGTCTTTAACAAAATATATTAATTACTTGCATTTTAAAATCATTAGAGGCAGAAATCCCAAGTTTTAGGCCTATTAGCAAACACACACGTGTCCTCACATGAACCCATGAATCCTCACATGGCTTCCAGAAATATACACAGTAAGAGACACACACACATACAATTGTTACCTTCTAAAAATACATACAGGAAGACACACACACACACACACACACACACACACACACACACACACACACACACACACACACACACACACACACACACACACACACACACACACACACACATACACATGCACCTGCAGCTCTGTGGTTTTCTGTGAGGAATTCTGTGGTTTAAAGCCGGAGGTTTAACAGGACTAATAATAGATGAACATCAAGTGTCTGACAGACTCTCTTATTAATCATATTAAATAAGTTTCACGGCTCATGTCTCACCTCTCTGAGTGAAGTGATTGTGTCTGTGATGAAGCTCCTCATAAACGGCCTCAGTCGTCGTCCTGTGTCTCCTCTTAGAGAGAGCTGTGAGTGTAGACAGACAAACCTGCTGTCAGTTCACAACACATGACTGATCACACACTGAATAAGACACAATATGACAGTCTCTGGATCTCTCCTACCTCTCCTCATCACTCTGTTCTGCTGAACCAGTATAAGCAGTGGCACTAAGAGCAGTAAGAGCAAAACTCCCAGTACAACCACAAGCACAGAGAGAGACGCTGCTGGAGGAGTTTGTGGAGGAGTGACTGATGTTGAGCGCACTGTCTGAGAAACTGGAGGAGAAGCTGATGTTGTTGTGGCAGGAGTAGTGGACACTGACACATCTGGCAAAACAGGCACAAACACATTAAAAATCATGCAAATAGACAAAGATTATTAGCATTAAAATGACTACTATTGTTCAGTGTGTTGCTGTGACCTGCACATGTGAGTCCAGCGTGCTCTTTGTGAGAACAGTCAGTGTGGTTCTTCAGGGAGAGAGGACAGTTCCACTCCACAGGTGAATCTCATTCCCTCTGCACTCGACTCTGTTCAGCCACACAACACCTTCACCAGCACCAAAGACTGAATTCCCATCAGCCCTCAGTGCGTCTCCACAACCCAGCTGCCTGCAGACCACCTGAGCATCGCTGATGTCCCACAGATCAGCACAGACTGAACCCCACACAGCGTTATGATACACCTCCAGCCTCCCAGAGCACCGGCCCAAACCTCCACTCAGTCTGAGAGGAACATGATCTAAATCACACACAGCAACATCACTGACCAGCTTCAGCACAACATTTACAACAAAACACAGAAACTTAACTAAGACGGCTTTAAATGTAAGATTAGTGGATTACATTTATGAATTTGATTGTAATTTTTAAATGCAAATAAATTCTTGTTTAAATGCACATTTTAATAGAAAACAGTCTTAAATTAAAAATCTTACTTGAACACTGTCTCTGGTGAGGAGATGGTGAGGTGGAACATGTCAGACGACTCTGAGGAGACTGAGGATTTTCCTCCTCTGAGATTAAATATTAAGAGAACTGAACATTAGGACACAAAAATTATAACTTCTCTCAGTAAAACATATCAATGTGAAAACATAATTTAAGTCTCATAAATCATTTTAGGCTTTAGTCCATCAACTCAGTTTAGTCTTTCAGAAACCACATTATATACAAACATTGTGTCTAAAGAAACATAACTACTGAGACCATCTTACATTATTTAAACATAATCTCACTTGAACAGGTGATTTTGGCCACTTCATCTTTACTACAGTAGTTCTGTCCCCAGGGTAAAGATGGACACTGCCACAGATTTAAATCATGTGGTCGACATTTCACTTCATCCAGCCAGTTACGAGCTGATTCCAGTCTTGGTGTAGAATCAGACAAAACACCAGATCTTCCACAGTTCAGCTCTTGACAGATCAGACTCACTGTGTCTCTGTTCATCTGGTTCCAGCATACATTACCCCAGGATCCATTGTAGAAAACCTCCATATTCCCTTCACAGCCCTCAGTTAACCTGATCTCTTTAAACTCTAGATGGAAAAGGATGTGCTTTAAAAAATATCGGAATTTATGTTGAGCTAAACCTTAAATATCACCATTATCTTAATACAAGGCTAATGCATGCTGCTAGCACTGGTAGCATCTGAAAAAGATACTTAATTATATTTTTTTATGATATATTATGAACTTCTTATGTACTACTTGATTCTGCTTGGTCAATAAATAAAAAATTTAAAAGCAGTGGAATCCATGTCTATAAGACCATCGATACAGTAAGATGGTCTTTGTTGTAAAATACGACCCATTCCACTCCTAATGATCCTGGTGTTTATTTAGCAAAAATGACCATCTGTATTATTCCTTTAAACATTTGAAATGATATATTTTAAAAATCAATCACATTACTTTACTGTTTACCTGAGCCCACGACTCCTACATCCTCCTTGTGTTGACAGTCATGTTTCCCCCAGCCTGGAGAAGAGCAGTTCCACAGGGACGTCTCATTCCCCTCACACTCCACCTCATCCAGCCATATGGGTCCAGAACCAGGACCAAACCAGGCTGGTACCTGCTGGTTACTGAGGGCCACTCCACACTGCAGCTGTCTGCACACCACATGGGCATCTTTAATATCCCAGGAGTCATCACACACTGTCCCCCATGAGCCGCTGTGAAAAACCTCCAGTCTCCCTGCACAGTCTCCCCCAGAACCCACCAGCCTGATGGACCCGCGGCCTGATATTCAGAGAGAGAAAAACACATTATTGATCACTAACAACTGAAGAATATGCCCAGATGTTGTTGTTCTCACCAAGGCAGGTGATTGACAGCTGTTGTGTGGAGCTGCAGTTGAGGGTTTGTGGAGAGCTGCAGTTCCCCAGATGAGCTTCACTCCCAGAGCACTGGAAGCCCGTCACACACTCATGACTGTGTTCAGGACTGGATGAAGAGGAGCCGGAGAAGTTCAGCACAGAGCCACAGCCCAGCTGTCTGCAGACAACAGAGGATTCAGTGAGACTCCAGGAGTCCAGCAGAACTCTCCTCCAGACCTGATGGATGGAAACTTCCAGCTCCCCCTCACACTGTCTCTCTCCAGACAACCGCACCAGACCGTCATGAACCGCCAGAGAGGAATCTAGAGAGAAGATCTCATCTTTTACTACAATCTGAGGAGATGTTTTGATGTTTTACTGAAATATTGTAAGTTTGATAATATGCTTTTAATAAATAATACATTTTACATAATAATCAATGAATTCAGAAATTAAGGGCATTAATCATTCAGTCTAAAATGAACATGAAATACAGTATATGAAGAGAAATGAAATATTGTATTTATCCTATTAAGTCTTTCAACAGCATGAAATCATTCATTCTTCCAGTAATATGGACTCACCAGAGCAGACGAGTCCAACATCTCGTCTATGAGAACATTCAGCTCGACTCCATGAAGAGACGGAACATTCTGAGAGTTTTGTTTCATTCCCGTCACAATCAAACACATCAGCCCAGATTTCACCAACTCCCTCTCCAAACCAGTTTGATCCCACCACAGACACAGCAATCCCACAATTCAGCTGTCTACAGAGGACACTGGGAGCTCTCATATCCCAGCATGCATCACACACTGTGCCCCATTTACTGAAGTACTGACGCTCAACTCGACCAGAACAGGAATCTGAACCATTCACTAATTTGAGCTCTGTGTAACCTGGTAAGAGAACTGAGTTTTTAGTGAAACGGTATAAAACAGTTCACAAGCAAAAGAAAGATTACATTTTAATCTTAAGCTGAAAAATTATTCTCCATTACCGGAACAGGACAGTCGTACGTCATTATCATCGGTACAGGTGTGTTTGAGAGAAGATGATGTTGGACAGACAGATATATAAGGCTCATTTCCTCTGCACTGAATCTCTTGTGTCCACATCTGAGCGTCTCCTTTGCCAAAAGCATCTTCTCCCAGCACCTGTACAGGAGCTCCACAGTCCAGCTCTCTACACACAACCTCTGCATCCTGCTGGTCAAAGGCAGCGTCACACACTGAAAACCACGTCCGATCATGAAGTATCTCTAACCTCCCAGAGCAGCGAGAACCTCCAACCAGCCGGACTCCTTCAGTAGAAAGGAATTTTGTAATTTTTTGTAATTTTTATATGTGCAAATTGTGGTCCTGACAGATATGCTAACACATATTTAAAAGTACAAAAATACTAATAACACCATCTAAATAGTAAACATATCAGGATTAAAATATAATGTTAAAGGGATAGTTCACCCCAAAATGAAAATTCTGTCTCAAGTGACTACAGTGGCTCAATCTTAAGTTTATCAAACGACGAGAATAGTTTCAATCCCTTAGAAGCCTATGGAGGAGTGATCCAGCTCTCAGATTTAATCAAAAATATCTTAATTTGTGTTCCGAAGATGAACGAAAGTCTTACGGGGTTGGAACAACATGAGGGGGAGTAATTACTGACAGAATTTTCATTTTGGGGTGAACTAAGTAGAAATGTGTTTATATATTAAAATTCAAACAGAGAATGCAAGCAGCAATTAACGGGGTTCAAGTATTTTAAGACCAGGCTGTTAGGGTCTAGGCAACCCTTTGTGTAACACCATTTTCAAGTTTCACATTAATCATTATGTCGCACTATTGTCAAAACTGATACATAAGGAAAAATGAAGTGATGAACTTTGACAAAATGTAATTATTAATGTTATAATAGGGATTTTATAATGTCTAAAAATTAATGGAAAAGCAAAACCTGTGAAAAGAAATTATATTAGTGAGTAGAATGGCAAATTTAACATTATAACCAGTATAAGGCAGCAGAGGATGTTGGGGAATTTCATTTGTCTCATACATGTCTCATACATGGGTCTGAATATAAAATGCTGTAATGCTAGAGAAAACCAGGTCTGAATGCTGTAATGCCAAGCAGAAAAACTAGGTCACAGGGCATGTGAGGATAGGGCACATGAGAACATGGACAAGAGAGTGGAAAAATACCCAAAAGACTTGTAGCACAGATGCAGGTGTTGGGAAGCACTGGAAGAGAAACATATTGTATACAATGTAACTATGTGTCACCAATAAGAAAAAGGCATTGATGCGGTTAAACTTTCTGTCAAAATGATGGATGATGACCTTTTGATCTGGTTCCGCACCTTGCGGTTAAACTTTCTGTCCAAATGATGGTGACGGTTAGTTTAATCGTTTGAAGTTGGGTTTAATCAAGAAAAAGGGGAGTGTGAAGTTAGTTTGATAAGACAAAGGGGAGTTTGACAGTTAGTTCAAGTTTGAAATTAGTTTGATAAGACAAAGGGGAGTTTGACAGTTAGTTCAAGTTTGAAATTAGTTTGATAAGACAAAGGGAAGTTTGACAGTTAGTTCAAGTTTGAAATTAATTTGATCAAGACAAAGGGGAGTATGACAGTTAGTTTAATCGTTTTAAGTTAGTTTGGCGACAGACCAAGGAGGAGTAAGTAGAAAAAGATAACTGTATGAGCGCTATTCGGACACCTGATAAGAAAAATGTATAAAACCTGAGCGCTGACCCTTGTGGAGTCAGATGACTAGCTACCATCTCACTTTGTTGAACTGCTCAATAAAGTTATTCTTCTGAGACCTGAAACTTCGACTCTGAAAGATTTCTTCTGAGACCTGAACCAGACTTTGAAGAATTGAACCAAAGATCGAGAATTTGCCACAACAAGGACCACTTATTGGCTCAGTTTAATTTTAAAATAGTTTATCACCAGTAAACTCCACTATTAAGGCACATTTTCTATGTTAACTCAATTAAGCACACACACACACACACACACACACACACACACACACACACACACACACACACACACACACACACACACACACACACACACACACACACACACACACACACACACACACACACACACACACACACACACACACACACACACACACACACACACACACACACACACACACACACACACACACACACACACACACACACACACACACACACACACACACACACACACACACACACACACACACACACACACACACACACACACACACACACACACACACACACACACACACACACACACACACACACACACACACACACAGGTTTTCAATGTCATATATTCCTTTGTAAACTAATTATATAAAACTATATTACCAGAGAACCACACATTATAAAAATGGGTTTAAGCATTTACTTTTCGGTCAATGAAACTAATATAAAAAGTTTGAATAGGTTTCTACTTTGTGCAAACAACATATAGACAAGTAACAGATAAAGGGCCATACAAGACATACAGTGAGGAAAATAAGTATTTGAACACCCTGCTATTTTGCATGTTCTCCCACTTAGAAATCATGGAGGGGTCTGAAATTGTCATCGTAGGTGCATGTCCACTGTGAGAGACATAATCTAAAAAAAAACACCTGAGAAAATCAATGTTAATATTTGGTACAGTACAGTAGCCTTTGTTTGCAATTACAGATGTCAAACGTTTCCTGTAATTTTTCACCAGGTTTGCACACACTGCAGGAGGGATTTTGGCCCACTCCTCCACACAGATCTTCTCTAGATCAGTCAGGTTTCTGGGCTGTCGCTGAGAAACACGGAGTTTGAGCTCCCTCCAATGATTCTCTATTGGGTTTAGGTCTGGAGACTGGCTAGGCAACGCCAGAACCTTGATATGCTTCTTACAGAGCCACTCCTTGGTTATCCTGGCTGTGTGCTTCGGGTCATTGTCATGTTGGAAGACCCAGCCTCGACCCATCTTCAATGCTCTAACTGAGGGAAGGAGGTTGTTCCCCAAAATCTCGCAATACATGGCCCCAGTCATCCTCTCCTTAATACAGTGCAGTCGCCCTGTCCCATGTGCAGAAAAACACCCCCAAAGCATGATGCCACCACCCCCCCATGCTTCACAGTAGGGATGGTACTCATCATTCTTCTTCCTCCAAACACGGTTAGTCGAATTATGACCAAAAAGTTCTATTTTGGTCTCATCTGACCACATGACTTTCTCCCATGACTCCTCTGGATCATCCAAATGGTCATTGGCAAACTTAAGACGGGCCTTGACATGTGCTGGTTTAAGCAGGGGAACCTTCCGTGCCATGCATGATTTCAAACCATGACATCTTAGTGTATTACCAACAGTAACCTTGGAAACGGTGGTCCCAGCTCTTTTCAGGTCATTGACCAGCTCCTCCCGTGTAGTTCTGGGCTGATTTCTCACCTTTCTTAGGATCATTGAGACCCCACGAGGTGAGATCTTGCATGGAGCCCCAGTCCGAGGGAGATTGACAGTCATGTTTAGCTTCTTCCATTTTCTAATGATTGCTCCAACAGTGGACCTTTTTTCACCAAGCTGCTTGGCAATTTTCCCCGTAGCCCTTTCCAGCCTTGTGGAGGTGTACAATTTTGTCTCTAATGTCTTTGGACAGCTCTTTGGTCTTGGCCATGTTAGTAGTTGGATTCTTACTGATTGCATGGGGTGGACAGGTGTCTTTATGCAGCTAACGACCTCAAACACGTGCATCTAATTTAGGATTATAAATGGAGTGGAGGTGGACATTTTAAAGGCAGACTAACAGGTCTTTGAGGGTCAGAATTCTAGCTGATAGACAGGTGTTCAAATACTTATTTGCAGCTGTATCATACAAATAAATAGTAAAAAAATATATATATATTGTGATTTCTGGATTTTATTTTATTTTTTTATGTCTCTCACAGTGGACATGCACCTACGATGACAATTTCAGACCCCTCCATGATTTCCAAGTGGGAGAACTTGCAAAATAGCAGGGTGTTCAAATACTTATTTTCCTCACTGTATATATAAAAATGTAATCTGCTAAACGGTTTAATAGATCAAAATTCTTTTGATAACATTTTGCCATGAGGGTGTCTAGATGATGCATGTTAAGTTTCGAGCAAATCGGACAAAAGGCCTACGTAGACATATACGCCAATAGATTTTTGGTCATTTGTATAATAGTTTAGTTACACATTTGATTATCCTATTTAACTCTTTATTGAAATTTCCCACGTATACTTAGTTAGAATAATATTACAATAATCAGAGGCTGAGGCTCACTCTATTTAGATTGGTCTAACAACTGTTGTTCTAAACAGAAAACCCATTATTAGCCTCTAGTTATACATTGACTAATGCCAATGTGTTAGGTGGAGCTCTAAACTTAATTTGGTGAAGTGCCCCGATGCCCTAAACTGAGTTTATTCCGTTACTAATCTGAGCATAGATTATGTGGTGTTATTGATTTAACATAATCTACTAGAGTTAATAATTTCAGAGTAATTCAGAATAAATCCAAATATAACAATGTCCTGTGGCCATTTTTGCAGTTTTCCTTTTTATTAGTCTAGATGTGTCTCGCTAACTTGTTAATAACTTATGTTTGCCCCCATGCGTGTTTAAACCCCTGTGTTTTCTGTGTTCTTTGTCAGGTTTTGTCCTACATGGATGTACTTTTGGTGATGCTCTTTCTGTTATCTGTTCTCTGGCTCTGTGGTCTCTGGTCTTTACTGCCACGGACTCAATGTGCGTTACCAACCCATGGTCGTCCGTGATGGTTCTCCAGAGGCGGTGGAATTCCTGGACTAAGCCCTTCAAATAAGTGGTTCATCTTACATGGTGGGGGTAGTAGAGGAGGATTTTAACAAGACTGCCATGCCAGAGTCTCCAGCCGTCAAGGCAGCCATGCCAGAGTGTTTAACCAAGATGGCCGCCACCACGCCTAAGTCCTCTGAGGTTGCAACGTTGACGAAATGGGCCACGGCTGTCATGTGTTGTGGCTGCACAAACGTCGGCTCCAGCCCCTGTATTCCCGATTCTAGTATTTCTTCTTTTTCTTTAGATTTGGAATATATTTCAATGGTACTACTGTAGAAAAGTAGCAAATTCCTGTCTTACTTAATTTTGTATAATGTTATTGAACATAAGTTTAACAGTTTTAAAAGGAGAATGCAAAGAGTATGCAAACATGCAAATTGGCCTGTAGGTACATAGAGTTTTGTTGTGGTGGTGGTTGTGTCTGAGTGAGAAAATAATTATTGTAATTTGAAAGACGTCGAAAATTAATTTTGTACCATAGCAATAATAAATTATTCACAGTTTAGCCCACATAGAGTACTGCTGTGTTTACTGTGTGAAGAGTTTTAAAACGTGACTTAAGTATTCAGAAATGGGTTCTAGTGATTGTAACAAAAAACTGTAAGAATGTATTTGGTTATTTAAAAAGGAAAGATAAAAAATACACATAATATGGGGGGGAGGTAGTGATACAATTATTTATATTCTTTTATGAGTTTAATAGTCTAGGGATAAATTATAAAAATAACAGATTTATTAAATAATTATAATTACTTAGCATTTACACACTTTAATCATTAGTCGCTGTGAGCCCACCTAATGTAAACAAAACATAAACAATTCAAATCAGATTTATTTCTGCCCCAATGAGTCTCATTGAAAGTCTCATTGGGGTACAACATTTACAGAAAATGTGAGTTGCCACAGTGTCGCAATCAGTAATTAAATTGAGTCATAGTGACGTCTCTTCAATTAGGCACATGATTTGACTGTTCAAAACTTTGTCAAAGTTTTGGCAGTAAGAAGAAGCAGAATAATAAGTGAGATAATCTCTCAAGCACCTTTGTTTGTCTAGGAGAACTTACCAGAGCAGATGACCCCAGCATCATCAGCATGATCAGCCTTATGTTTTCTCCAACCATGTGATCCACAGTTCTTCAGTGCAGACTCTACTCCAGTGCACCTCACATTTCTAACCCAGACTGGTCCTTTCCCCCGGCCAAAGTGGGCATGCTTAGGTGCAGCAACGGCCTCTCCACAGTCCAGCTCTCTACACACCACTGCAGCATCAGCCATATCCCAGCCTAAATCACTTACTGTTCCCCACTGACCATCATGAAGAACCTCCACTCTACCAGCACAGGAACTACCACCACCTACTAATCTCAATGTTTCTACACAACAAACAAAGAGAATGAGAGGAAATAATTTTTGGCAAAACAATGGTATATTTAATTTTGAATTTAAGTTGTGTTTGCCATACCAGAACACACAAGTTCAACATCATTATTATATGAACAATTGCTGCTTGAAGATGATACTGGACAGAAAGCAATCTGATATTCATTTCCTCTGCACTGAATCTCTTGTGTCCACATCTGAGCGTCTCCTTTGCCAAAAGCATCTTCTCCCGAGGAGCCCCACAGTCCAGCTCTCTACACACAACCTGTGCATCCTGCTGGTCAAAGGCAGCGTCACACACTGTGTACCAGGTGTTTCCATGAGGCACCTCTAGTCTCCCAGAACAGCGAGAACTTCCAACCAGCCTGACTCCTAAATCTACAAGAGATATTACAGACATGTAAAAACATTCAAAGTAAAGCCTTGAAATATTCACAAATGCTATATTGTTGATAGCTTAATTGCTAAAGTAATGTTCTGTTTTCCAATGTCAAATGTTTCAACTGTCACTTTTATAAATTATTATTAAATGATAATATGAAAAAAATATAAAGCAGATAATAACTTACCTGAGCAGATAACCCCAACATCTTCACTGTGTTTACAATCGTGTTCACCAATTTTTCTTCTTGGGCATTTAAATACTGAAGACTCTGACCCCCTACATTTCACATTATCCAGCCAGATTTGTCCTGATCCTGGTCCAAAGTAAGCAACACGCATTGTATTTGAAGTATCACCACAGTCCAACTCTTTACACACCACTGCAGTGTTTGTCAAACCCCAATAATCATCACACACGGTTCCCCACTGACCACTATAATAAACCTCCAATCTACCAGCACAGGAATTTTTGCCACCCACCAGCCTCACGTTTCCTGCAAACGAGATATAGAAAGTTGTGTATAAAATGTATGTGTGAGACGATGGACATCAACAGAGATTGAATCAGTGAAAGAGAGGAATAGAGAAAAATTACCATGAGAGAAGGAAATTCACTTTTATATTGATTCAAATATTACACATAGCCTACACAAATTGAACTATTAATTATATTATGACCAATTCATAACACAAAAACAGAGTCAATCACTACAACATTAACTCACACATAATGATCCTGTGTGTGTGTACGTACCAGCTGTGGCGAGTCTGATCACAGATGACAAAAAAATGAGTGTGAGATAGCTCTCCATCTTCACTGATCATACACTCTTCTTGATCAACTCAGAAGTGAAAGATTGAAGAAGAGAGACAGAGACAGAAGGCTCTACAATCACCAAACAACAAGCCAATCAAAGTCACTTTTACCTTATTAGACAGAAGAGAGGAAATCATCAAACAGTTCCACTGACAAATCAGAAGACGTATTTATGATTCTCACCATATTTATTAAAAGCACGTCAACACTGATGAACAGGACTCCTCCTCCACCTTATAGACGCTTAACTGGGGAGAAACATGCAAGATAGAGGGGTGACAGTCACACATACAGGAAACATTCCAGTTTATTTACAGCATCAAAGCACAGCATTTGCAGATATACAAATACAAACACGGATAACTAACTGCTTCATGTTTCACTTTGAGTCCAGGTTTAGAAATATTTGTTGGATACAAACAGAAATCAAATGTGCTGTTTTAAAGATTCATTTTAATAATAATATATTCAGAAATAGCCTATATTAGCAATGCTTGTCATGCTCTTCAAGTGCACAGTAAATATTATTTCACAAAAGAGTGTAAGGGAAAGCATTTTGTTAAAACATAATAATGAATTTTTTAAAAACAATAAAGTATATGCCTTTACCCAGTTCATCATATAGGAAAACTCGACCAAGTTTGCACTTTGCAGCTGCGCAATACCGATCTATTCCTATGGGTGGCAGTAAAACGATGAGATGACAGACTTATGGTGACTATACCCTTGACATTTTTTTTTTTTTTTTTTAAACAGTATCAATTTACAAACTCAAATAGGGAACAATAATATGCAGACAAAAAATAACTCCATTCGTATATCTGTGCATATACGCCTATGCTTACATAGGTTCATAGAACAAAAAAAAACCCCAAAAAACAATTGCATAATTAGTACAATGAACAAAAGCATAAATCAAACATTTAAGGGGGTTACAAATTGCAAGGAAAAAATTAAATAAATAAATCTTAGACAAAAACAAACAAAAATTAGAAAGAAAGAGACTCATACATGTTTTTATACAGTTTACAAAGGGATTGATTATCTTTGGATAAGTATTTAATGGATGCTAAATAAATCTTAAATTCATTTTTAA